GAGCTGGAAAATGTTAGAAGAGAGAAAATAGGGGAGGTACTTTTACAAAGACATTGTGATTTTTTTTTTTCTGGAGAAATATTAGAACTAATTTCCAAAAAAAAAATTGCTAGCGACCTCGTCTGAATATGTTTGTAATACGGTGATTTCTCTTTGACGAATAATTTCTCAAACTCGTAACTTTCTTCGCAGTGCTGAAAAAAAAAAAAAAAAAAAAGATAGATTCTGTCACAATCGCTGGGTATAACGGTTTCGTTAAAGTGCACCCCCTGGAAATAGTTGCTAGTGGCTGGTACCAACGCAACCCGGCTCAGCACTTGTTGACTATTAGGATACTAAACAAAATTCAGGTTGTTATTTTGCGTTTTTCTCTTAAAGCCTCTTTAAAGAAACGCATACTGAGCAGGACCAGGAGTTGCAGGACGGATAGGCAATTTTGAATCGCTTGCAGTTTTGTAGGGAAGCACATGTTATTCCCTCTGAATGCCCTGGGAGCACAGAGGCTTGATTTCTGGGAGTGCAGCTGGCAATCTTATGACATTCATAACGGATTTGTAGGTCAGAAGTAATATTGTTGTTCACTTTATTGGTGCCGGTTTGAACCTTTCACCTATAAATTTTATTTTCTTATCACTACTTGCACCAAAATGCTAGTTTTATCAGGCTCACTGCTTACTCGGTACACTGGCTGCTTCAGGGATATGTTGTGTTTCCTCAGCTTTGTTCAAAACCGAGCAGAAACACATCAGTGCCGTATGGTAAACCTTTCGAAAAGACATTTGTTTTCTGACGGCTGGAAAAGTGTTACTTGCATTAATAACTATACCGGTGTCTGACAGTTGTTGATGGTCATTCGGAGCTACGTTCTAATATGTTTGTACCACTAATATTTCCATATTCTACAAAACCATTCAAAATGCAAAATCAGGCGGCTGCTCTTAAATTATCTGCTTTACAGGCTTTAAGCAACTATCAACAGAAAGGCAAAATAAACAAAACATATCTGCCTCTGGTTTTTCAAGTAGAAAGTTTGATCCGGTATTGAAACACTTACCCATGTGCATTTTACTTCATTTATTAGCTTGTAATTAAATAAATCAGCAACAGAAATTAAAATCTAAATCACAAAAGGTAATTATCCAGTGTATTTCAAGTGCATTTTCAAATATATAATTCCAATATTCAAGCGTTATTATATAAGCAGAATCCAAATTTCTTTTGAATATATTTAAATAACATTTCAAGTATATTTATGGAATGTTAGAAATAGAACAAGCAATATATATGAAACGAAAAATGTAAACTTGTTAAGTTCAGACACTTCAAAAGACAATTAACAAAAGTACCATGATAAAATCTACCTTTTTAAATGGTATCTTCTCTTTAGCAGAAAATGTCCTTGAAGTATCCAAAATCGCAATTTAACTTCTGTTCACCAAATCACAAAACACCAACATCCACAATTTCAAAGACAATGTGAGATCACAATATTTGATACAAATTAAAAGGTACATTAGGGTTTGTTCATGTGGCATATCCAAATAGCTTTTACTCACAGAGGGTTTACATAAAAATACCGGGTTTTGTTATAATCCGTTGGTACTGTTTCTAGGCAGAATGGTCACAATCATGTTAAATTACGGCCAATTTTCCTCTTCGGGTAGTATACTCTTTTTTTTTTTTTTTTTTTCTTTTTTTTTCCTTTCCTTTTTTTCACGGGGAACTGCAAAACTGTGACGAAGATAAGAGGAAAGATACTTGCTGTTCTTATTTGCTTTCCTTTGTGAAGAGCCTAAGCTATATTCCTTTTTAAAAGAGAATATTCTTTGCATTGTCAAGTGGAAATATTTGACTTTTCGACCAGGCAGCTTCAATTTCACTGGGAAATAAGCAGATTTATCGGTCAGGCTGGTTTTGTAATTACCCTCTAAAGTTTCTCCAAACTTTTCGGGTTGGTGAGTATTTCCCTAGCTAGTCGCCACGTTTGTTTGGCCGCGTTTTCCAGGGCCGAGTGAGGTTTGCCCTGAAAGAGGTCTAAATTGGGCAAGAAGTAATGCGGGCACCTCCTGCACTGGAGGCAGGAGATGAGCTGCAGTAAAATCCCGTTGAGCCGGTCCCCCAGGCACGACTCGTCCCAGTCCGATTCGCGGGGATGCTTTTCGCATTCGTATGAAACCAGAGTCTTCATGTGATAATTATTCAGGGGCTGGCCCGGCAGCTCCAGGTGACGGTCCCGTAAGGTTTTGAGGATAGAGAGGCATTTCTTCCTGCAGCCGCCCATCTGCAGTCTGTTCTCGGCTTCCGCGAACTGCAGCACCCAGGCATCGCTCTCGGCCGAGCTCTGCTTGCCGGCCAGAGAGTGGCACTCCTTGGACAAGAGGTTGAAGCCTTCCGCCTTGACCTCCGCCACCCGGTTGGGTCCCGGCCAGGGGATGTGGGGAAGCGGCCAGTGGGCAGCGCTCCGCGGCCAGATCCCCGTGCATTTGAACGCCGGGGTGATCTGCACGACGTACCGGTCCCTGATCCGCAGCTTCACTTCGCTGGTGTCCGCCACCATCTTTACCACGTCCCTGTAACTGCACTTATCCACGGCTTGAGCCACCAGAGTCTGAAATCTGGACCGGATTTTGCGAGCGCAGAGTTAGCCAGACGCCGTGATGAACTCCTCCCAGAGGGACATACTCCTCTTGCGCCCGTCGCTTAACTTTAACACAGCGCAGCCCGGCAGGGAGCCGTCGTCCACGAAGTTGAAAACCCCCATTTGGTTCAGATACAGCACGACTTCGAACTCCGTGGGGGAGATGACTTCCAGCCCCTCGTAGCGATTGTCCATCTCGTTCAAGGAGCTGATGAAGCGAGGCTCCTGCACCTCCACCTCCTTCAGCACGTCCGACACCACTTTGCAGACTTCTCGGATCGTTTTGGCGATGGCAGCTTTCCTGGCTTGGCATTTCTCGTTGTAGTATTTATTCAGATGATATACCAGCTTGGCCTGGGCCGCGATCATGTTGGGGCAGAGATCCGGATTGTATACCGGAGTCTCGCAATAGGCTGTGGGATCCAATGCGGCTGCTAAGGCTGGAGCCAACTTCAGAGGAGAAACAGGCTGCCGCACTCTGAAATGTAACAAATGTTTTTCAAAATGCGCTGGGGCTGCTGCTCCTCAGATGCTCTCTTCCTGCTTTTTTAGATCAGCCGTCTTGA